TGTTAAATATGCGCATAAAATGGTTGATGGACACGCCAACATGCACATAAATTTTGAAAATGCGCATAAAAAACGTATGCGCATAAATGAGCAGGAAATTTTTTTATTCAATAAGAAAAAACTGCACATAAACTACAATGGAAACACTTTTACTGAACAAATTTCAGTATGTGCATTGAAAAGGTTATGTGATTTTGTTATGAGAGATCATGTGCTGGTAAAAATGTGTGTGAATGGACATTTTAATTCAAATCCATTCAATTCAATTCAATTCAATTCAATTAAATTCAATTCAGCTTTATTTGTATAGCGCTTTTACAATGTAGATTGTGTCAAAGCAGCTTCACATAAATGGTCATAGTAACTGGAACAGTGTAGTTCAGTTTTTAGTGTTTAAGTTCAGTTCAGTTTAGTTCAGTTCAGTGTGATTTAAATCATTACTGAGAGTTCAAACACTGAAGAGAAAATTCATCGATGCGTAGCTCTACCAATCCTGAACCTTGCGAGCCAGTGGTGACAGCGGAGAGGGAAAAAAAAATTTCACCTGATAGGAGTGAAGAAAAAAAACCTTGAGAGAACCAGAATCAGTTCGGCACGACCATTTTAATTTCTCCGCTGGCCAAAAGTCTTGTGCAGACCCAGCAAACCAGTAGGCTGAGCATATTGTAAAACATCTAAAATGTTGTTTTGGTCATTCTAAAACACCTTAACCATATCAATATTAGTCTTATTATATTATTATTCCCTTCAGAATTTTCAAGAGCATCTGTGCTGAGCATCTGATGCCTTTAAACACCATCACAGGCTTATCGCGACTTCAAGTTCTAATCAGTATCAAACCTTTAACTTAATAAAAAGTTGTTAATAAACAATTGTCGTTAAAGAAATCAATAGAGGCCAACCATGCAACAGAACTCAGGTAAGCTCGGAAAAAAACAAAGCTTGAAAGAATAAATTACGTGAGTGTTTTTAGCGACAAGCTTCAGCCACTGTTTAAACTCGTCTTGCTGCAACCAGGAGTACGCAAACTTACATTTTCCTATTTTGCCGTCTGTTTCGCTCTATGGTTTCGCTATATGTGGGGAGTGTCACATCATTTTCCCGCGTTTCTCGCAAATTACGTGACATCACCCGCACAGAGAAACTTGGCCGGACGCACCCTGGCCAGAACCAATCACGTGGATCAAGCAAGCTGTTGTTAATATCAGGAGGAAATTAAATATATTTATGCTTTTTTGGAATTAAACACTTGACCTTTAAAACACTTTAAGACCTTGTAAAAACGCATTTAAAACTTTAATACCTTTTAAGGGCTTTCATTTTCTCATAAATGTTTTATTAACTTTTAATACTTTTTAAAAACCCGTGGACACCCTGGTAGTGTATGTGTGTGAATGAGATTGTCTAAATGTTTGCCAGTGATGGGTTGCAGCTGGAAGGGCATCACCTGCATAAAATATATGCTGGATAAGTTTGGCGGTTCATTCTGCTATGGTGACCCCACATGAATAAAGGGACATAGCCGAAAAGAAAATTAATGAGAATCTTAATTTTCTGAAGTCTACTGCATTTGCATTAGTCTAAAATATAATTCCTTTGCATTAATTCATCAAAATCTGAGCTGCTTCGGTTTGCTTTATTAAAATCAAACAGGTCATTAAAAGTCTGATGATTCAAGTAGACTGTTTAAACATATTTATTCCAGATTCAAATTCAATTAAATTCAATTCGTGTTTATATCTATAGCGCTTTTACAATGTAGATTGTGTTAAAGCAACTTAATATAGAAGATTATAGTAAATTGAAACAAACAGAGAGCAAATGCATCGATGCGCTGCTCTACAAGTCCCGAACCATGCAAGTCAGTGGCAACAGTGGTGAGGAACAAACTTCACCAATTAATGAAAGTGAAGGAAAAAAAAAAGAAAAAAAAGGCCAAATGTGTTGTTTGTTTGATGGCTATTTGAACACTGATGGAAACAATGTAAATGTTTGTGTGTGAATTGCATCTGTTAGAAGCGATTGATACAATGCACTTAACGTTAGCCTAGTTCTAACAGACTTCACGCAAAGCTTAGTACTGTGCCCAATAGCAGGATTGATACTTTCACCTAGTTCAACAGTTTTTTTTTTTAAATTTCCAATTAGTTGATGCAACATATTTTCTCACGCAATGTTTTAAGCACAAGTCTATTCTTGGTTTAATTTTGGGGACCACTAATCTGAAATAATTCTCAATGTTCAGTTGTGGCCTGTATTTGTTTTTAGCACCCGGAGGAAACCCACGTGAAAGCAGGAAAAGCATGCAAACTCCACACAGAAACGCCAACTGACCCTGCTGAGGCTCGAACCAGCAACCTTCTTGCTGTGAGACGACACCACTACCTACTACGCCACTGCATCGCCCGGGTTATGGTTAAAACATTGTAATTTTAATAGTTAAATACATTTTTTTTTACTTTTTTTTAAATCAGCAAGCAATCCCCTGTCATTGTCTCGCAACCCCCAAGGGGGTCCCGACCCTCACTTTGGGAACCACTGCTATAGAGATCATAAATGTGCAATTATTTAGAAACAGAAATGACATGTCGTTGTTGTAAATAAGATGAATAAAATTAACATAACATATGTTTGCCTAATAAAAGAACCTGGATAGACCTGTTCTGTAGGACAGTTAAATTACATATATTGTGTTTTTGCACTTTAAAGAAATTTAAATGAACTAACTTGACTCTGCACCAACATTGACTAACTGCTCTATGCTAACCAGTCAATTTCTGACTACTTGGATTGGGCACCTATTGAATGGGAATCTGTGGCATTTATACCAAACAGTTGGATTTGCAGTTAGCACCCTTCGCCCTTGGCGTCTGAATGGTGGAAGGACTGCTATCAGTGAGGGCTGTGTAGTCTGTCTCTGTGGATTTACCTGTATAGGGCTAAGGGAAGCAGAGACTAATCTCACTGCACCTATTACATACAGCCCAGAGGCAAACTGAGGATTACAACGGTGGGATTCAGGATTTATTTTGAGCTTGCTGAGCTACTTGAAAGATTTCACCATGCCAACTCATATTACTCTACGAATGGAAGGAGCATTAATGTTTCAACTTCAGCTCGCATTATGTTGGGTTCAGCCTCAGCATGGTAAAGATCTGGAAACCCCAAATATTATGACTTGCTTTTAAAAGACACCTATATTAAAACTCATTAAATCTATACTTTTGATCAGCAAACATTTATCAAAACAGTTTAAAAGTATTTTCAGTTATAAAATTTTAAATACATGCCATTAGGCGGAGTTTCTAGTCATCAAAACATTTATACCACATATAATATAACCACATATGTTTTTAACAATAATAATACTATTGTTTCTTACAGCAAATCAATATATTAGAACTCCTAAAAATTCTGTTTTGAAACACAAAAATAAATGACTTAAACTGAAAAACTGCTTAAAATAGAAACCAATTATTTCAAAACTGTAATAGTATTTCCCTATATTATATTATATTATATTATATTATATTATATTATATTATATTATATTATATTATATTATATTATATTATATTATATTATATTATCGTTATTATTATTATTCAGACCACCTAGTTTTTTTAAATTTTGTGATCACTAAATCCAACGCAAAATCAACAGAATGTCGCAATTTTTTAGATCCTGCAAAATTCTTAATTTCAACACAAATAATTGCAAAAATTAGATTTTTTTTCAGTTTGCAATTAATTGTTTTACATGACCAACAGAAGTTGCATACGCAGCACACGTGATGTATTTGAATGTCTCTCGAAAAATGCTTCGGGGGGTGAAATCTGAGAAAGAGACAGAAAGATTGTGGATGAAAATAAGAGTTATACAACCTTCCTTTGACTTTATCCCCACAGTTTATTTCTGTTTTAGATCTTAACAATATATAGATAAAGAAGCTTTATGTTTATGATTAGTGCCATTGTCATTGTGTCAGATCGCAAACCCAACATAGTAGACTACCTAATAAGATATCACACACACACACACACACACACACACACACACACACACACACACACACACACACACACACACACACACACACACACACACACACACACACACACACATATTCTTTTTTAATCGCAAATTTCTGGGAATTACCACCACAAAAATCAGTCATTTTTAATTGCAAAAAATCACACACACAAAAAAAAAAATCTTGAAAAACTAGGGGGTCTGATTATTATTAATATTATATAATATATATTTGCAGGTAAAACACAGACTTGGCAATACTAATGGCAGTATGATTCGGATTTAGCTATATAAATATTGGGAATTATATTATAAAGATAACTTGTTTTCCCCTTTATTACATAAATTACATATCATTACATTTATTTACATGTATTACTTGTAAAATTATTATATTTTAAAACAACTGATTAAATTTGGCATCTCTGCCAGTCCCTTTTGTCAAGTATAATTCAAATTTTGCCTACAACACAACTCATAAGTAAACATTCATTTCATTTAATTCACTCACTCCTTCTAGCTAAAATAAAACTTTCTAACACTATAGTTAAAAAATGATCATTTACCAGGGGATCTAATCAAACAGAGAGCTTATTAATACTTGACCATTCCAAATATTGTCAAAACCAAGCTTTTTATTCTAGGGCTTAATGTCTGTGCATATAAAACTATTTCTGGGGAAATTTTCACACTTACAGTATTTTAGCCACATACAAACTGAGTAGATATCAGAAAACAATTGTAACTTACTGAATCAATGCACTCTAAGGCACCTTTAAAACCAAGTTTAAAATGACCTGAATGTGACACCAGGCTATTTGAATGAAAATGTTGATGAAATATTTAGCTTATTTTGTAACTCTGCATGCATCAAAGATTTGAATCCAAAACATAGTGAAAATTCAGCAATGTAATCATGCAACCTGCAGGGCATGGAGATGCTGTGCGCTTGGACTGTAGGGTTTTACCTTCAGATGCCTTCTCCTCCTCTGGAAGCGCAGAAGCTCCTTGTGTTGGCGTGCAATGAAGTTGACGGCCGCATACTCCAGCAGGGCAGAGAAGACGAAGAGAAGGCACACTGCCATCCAAATGTCAATGGCTTTCACATACGAGACCTGCAGCGAGACCAAATCAACAGGATTGGCAATGAGCGCTGAAGAACAGCTCTGAGTCACAGCCTGGCTCAAAGTTCACTCACTGAGTCACTCGCTGAGCTCAAAGGCTCAGAACTTTCCACATGAGAAAGTCGTAAAATATGCCCATTATAGGGAAGAATACCTTTCATCTGAAATCCAGAGAGCTAAAAGGACTGTTCTAGCCAGCCTGATACAGCAGATCAAAGTGTGTATGAATAAAATATGTCAATTTTAAGTATTTAGGCTCAGAAACTGAGTCTTTATGCACGTTATTTATTTATTTATTTATTTTTTCAAAGTGCGATCGCTGTCAGACAGCGGTGAATACATGCGATTGATGTGTGCTTGCTGAGAGCTGCTTCTCTGGCCTGGAAAAAGAGCTCGGCTGTTGGACCGACTGCTTGGCTGAGACTCACTTTATTTGACAAGCCAGTGACCAAAATGGTTGTGGAGTTTAGGTGGCATTACAGAGCGCACGGTTCACAAAGCATTGTTGAAATGACGGGAGCTCGCTAGGGTGAGACAGCGCTGATGAAATACTCCACTCTGATCCTCACCGCTAATCTCAGATGCTCTTATTGGAACACTTTAATTGAAACCTTCATAATTATTTCCATCAGTACCACAGATTATTATCAAAACCTAATAGTAATCAGAGCCTTAGCCAAGAGACTGTGTTTTTTAGATAAATGTGTTTGGACACAGTGGAGGCACAGCAAGCAGAGTACATGTTGAATCTGAGAGAAATGGTAAAAAATCTCAGAACAGAGGATAAAGAAATAGATTTTTTTTAAATGGTCAAGTTATGTATATAATTATGATAATTATAATGATTCATGTAACATTCACTTTATTAAACACACTTAAAGCTACCTGGTTAATGAAAGCTCAGCACAGATGTAAATGTATAACACATAGTAATGCACCAAAATCTTCTTTTTTAAATAAAAATATACATATTTGAATAATTATGGTGGCTTGAGAAAGCCAACATACTGTTATACTACAGAAACGTATTCTTCTTCTTCTTAGGCTATTTTACAACATCTTAGCAACCACTCAGAACACCCTATCAACTGCCTAGCAAGAAACATGCCGATGCATACTAGAAACATGCTGACATAAATGTGTGCCAACTGTTTCAAACTTCTTAAAAACTACTTCAGATCTTTAAACTGTAAAATCACTAGACTTTCAGATTAGGCTTTCTCAAGACACCCTAAAGTTTGTCTACAAGCTTTACTTTTCTAGTATTTTTTCCATAATTATTTGACTTCAATAAATTGTACCTGAAGAATAAATTTAAATATGAATATTAATTTTCTTAAAAGAATTAGGTTTATGTAATAAGAGTCAAATAAAACAGAGTTGAACAAAAATCTAAATTGTGCAACTGTCAACACATTTACTTTTCTAATTTTTTTCTAATTTGCTAATTTTGTTCATATGTTTGATCAATGGCAATTCCTTGATTTAAAATAAAGTATGAAATCAGTGCATTTAAATGAATCAAGTTTTAAATGAAGCCTTCACAGCAGTTTCAATTAATAGTTCTAATAATAAGGATATTATTCAAGCATAATAAAGGGTTTCTATGGTTTTTAAAAAGGTCTAAAAAGTCTTAATTACACAATATAAGCCTTAAAAATGTCTTGGAACAAATAAAAGCTATTAAGTTATGGCATTAAAATCTTGTGTGCACTATTAAAACATCAATATTTTTGTTGTTTACAATACAAGTATCTTAATTAGGCCTTAATCAGGCATCTTAATTGGTTTTAAGAATTACCGTGGTTTAGGAAAAAAACGCTTGAACTGCAAAAAAATTTTCGTTATACTGTTCCTAAGTTATATGTACATTTTTTAAAATGCTTTTTATGTGATGTGTTGTAAATAAATTTGTGTTTTTGAAACCATGAAGACAGCGGAAGTCAATGATTTATTTTAATTATTTAGCCTGACATGTTTACTGTTCCAAAACATTTGAATTTTTCCAAAAATAAAATATATTGTGTTGTATGGGGTAAAAAGTCATTTAAAATAACCTATTTTAGAGCAGTAATCACAATACCTTGACACCATGAAATTGTGGTATTTTTATCTAAGGTTATCATATCATCTGAATTTTATGCCGACCCATGCCTAATCTTTATATATTTAATTAACTGTACTTGCTAATCGGAAATTAAAATGAACTGCAAAATAAATTGAATTAAAAGTAAAAAACTATATATGAAACGGAACAAAAATTGCTTAAAATGAGAACAAATATCAGACAACATGATATGAAAATTACTTTATATAAATGAACTATCTTTTCTGAGCCCACAGGAAAATGTTTGTTCTTGTTTTAATCATAAACTCATTAATTTTCAGCACCTGTTAAGATCATTATTGAACCGAGAAGCACGTTTCACTCAAAATCACTAACTAGGAATAATTTTCCATGCCTTACACATCAAATCCTCTTTCATTTTGTAAATCTATGCTAGAAGTTTCATATCTGGCATCACAGCCTGTTTAAAGCTGAACAGAACGGTGTGTGTATATCAGGTCATGATGCATGTAAATGATGATCAACATGATCAAATTACAGCCTTATCCTGTCTTATCTCAATGCAGTATGTGGGATCAGAAAATTCTTGTTCGCATTGTACTACAGCAGGCTGAATAAGTGCTTTCCAGCACACAAACCTGTACCGACATTCAAAAATGATGACTACAGTTTCTGTCCTGTTATAAAGTAATTATGTCAACAGCACCAAGAAACCACAGGCATCAGAGAATTACTGAAATAAGATGTATAAAAATAAATAATAGCATGTAATTGTCATTGTAATGCAACAGGTATGAAAATTCATCTGAAGAATAAGACCAATTTATACTTCTTGATGGCCATATTCCATGACCCATTCCTTGCATGTAGTTGACGCTATTGTGAACATTTATACTTCTGCATTCTGTGCATGATGCTCTGCAATAACACATCCAAAATGCTAGTTGTCTAGTTTCCACTTTGTCAAATTTCTTTTCCAGTATTTGGAGTTTATAACAGAAATGCATTTGATGCTATTGTAAAAGTTATTGCACACTAAACCATAAATTTTCATCTGTCCTTTAAAAAAAATCGAATTGGGTTTGATTGTTTACATTTCTAATCCAAAAAGGTGTTTTGAGAGATGTTTTGACAATTCAGGACTGCTGTATCTGAGAAAGTGATCCACTTGGGTGTAAGCAAAGTAATCCACTTGGTCTTGCAAAACAATGATAAGTAAAGTATGGAATATAAAGACTAATATAAAATATAAAGTCTTCTTTTTAATGTGGTTCAAGTATCGCTAGCCAAGTATCAAACTGAGCCACGAAAATCCTGAAGTAAACTTTGAATCGGTTGGGATAATCCTTCAGCTCTTTGATAAGGAACTCTCCTTCCTCTCTCTGCAATCTAAGGATGGGATGGACCCAATATTACTTTCTTTTTCTATTTAGGGAGAAGACACACTCAGCTTTACTACTCGAAGACTCCATTTTATTCCAAGTTATTTCACAACCGATTAATTAATAAGCATCCGACTCGGTGTGCAAGGCTTGTGAGCAAAATGAATTTTTCATATTTGAATACAAAAAAATGCATACAAAAATTTCTGACTTCAGTGTGCAAAGACCTCACTAGTAGTTCCAACTCACACTCGTTCAGGGAAGATGGTGGTGGAAACCAACAAACATCCAACAATTTTAATAAAGAAATAAACACAAAACAAAGGTATCCATCAGGAGCTCCTCCACAGAACTCAAAAATTGTTAAAGTTCACATGAACTGGAAGTTGCTGAGACTTTTATTTTAGCATATTGATTTACTGAAATAGATAATTGAGTAGGAGATGAGGCTTTCTTTTTGAGCATCATTCACTCATAGCAAACTAACAGTAAAAGGGGCAAGGTTAAGAATATTGTTGCTGAAGTCATCAAACTGACATCATCGGAGAAGGACAACAAATGCAAAGCAAAAGGTCAGACCTTGACGCCTGATTCACATGGGGCTTCAGCGTCAATGCTTGACAGAGAGCGTGTCTGAAGTTGGGGCTGATGCGATTGTCATAGTCAATTGACTACTGATTGGCTGACGCTTCCTTTGGCGCTCAAAGTTGAGAAAGTTCCAACTTCTGCAGCGTGCAGCGCCACTAAAGCGCCGCCGACGGATCCACAATGCAGTTCGGCAACGCCTGACGTCACCCGTTCAAAGTAAATGGTAAGCGCTGATGCCTCTTGTGAATGGGGCGTAAAAGATTACCAAACAAACTTTTTTTTATTATTCACCTGATTGTTTGGCTAAAAATAACAACGTGTGCTATAAACATTGTAAATTTTGATTCCACATGGACTTTAAACATAGCTCTCAGCCCCACCCACAATTTTTGCAGCTATACCAAGATGGTTAAATTTGCAATGTTAAAACGTTTTTGACATGTACAGGTCAGCGTCCATGTCAGGGTATGTGACTGTGCGAAGGACCTACATTGTACACTTGCTGTTGAATGTCTTGTATGAAACATTATTTACAAGACATTCAATCCTACAAAATATCCAATTCATTATTAAATCCGCATTTAACAATAAAACTACTATTTATTTTATTACAAAATTGTGTAAATAAAAATCTAAAATAATATTTCTAATATTTATTGTACTGTAAAAAATAACAATATTATAAATTAGTTATAAAAATGCTTTACATTACAATTGTCAAAACAACACACTAATTTTATGGCTTGTTTTCCAAATGTTAAACTTTTATTTTAGTGTAAGCTGAATGACTCCAAACTTCATTTATAGTCAGTTTATTACTCCCATTTATTATTCCTAGTAATTTCTCCCATAGGCAAAAACATTAGAAGTTCTAAAACAATTGCAAAACCAAGCGCACATCCGCGTTGCAGAATAAGGTCAATATTTTTAATACATTTTGGACAAAGAAAGATCAGTACTCAAAGACATTTCAAGTGATACGTAAATATGCCACAGCGGGATATCTAAAAGATTTTCAAATACATTTGAAAGATGAAATTAGTTTGGAATAGGTTTTACAGATCACAAGGCTAGTGGCAAAAGCACCACAGGATATGATTAAATAAATTTGCATTTAACTCACATGGTAATGGCAATTGACTTTAGCTAACATAATGTTAATACAACCTAACTTACCTGAGGCAGTGTTGCAAGTACCCCAGGCACATCCTTTTACCATTTCTGTAGTATAAACACCATCAAACTGATTTAGATATTGCAATGTTTCTCTATGGCAGTGAAGCTCTGTGGAACTGACACCCAACTGCCATTGGCTCATCTGCATTCAAGGGGAGGGATTTTCCAATAGCTCATTTGTGACGATGAATGTGCTGAAGACTACTGACCTTGGGAAGAGAGGCTCGAGATCCTGAGCTCTGGGTGGTCATGGTCAGCACAGTCGTGATTCCCAACCCCACACGGGCTGGGGCAGCGTCCATGTTGATCCAGAAGGACACCCAAGACAAAATGACAATCAGGAGACTGGGAATATACATCTGGATCAGATAATAGCCCATCTGTCTCTCCAAGTGGAATCGAGCCTCTATGCAGGTGAACTTCCCTGAAACACAGAGAGTATGTGATTTTCATTGGCATCTCATGCTTTAACTCTATCCCTAGTGTTCCGTTAATGAATATTTATTAAGATCAGCCTTTTAAACAGAGCTGGAAAGTGGGAACAATTTTTAATTATGTTTGATTTATAAAATGGTGTTTAAGGTCATAAAGTGTTTAATATCTTACAAAAGCCTTTATCGTTTTAAGGGATCTTAAATGCAGGGATTAGTAGACTATGAATCACAAAAGAGCTATTTGATAAACAAATGTTTAAGACTTCAAAAGGCTATGATTTAATTAAATGTGAGCTCAGCACATCAAAGAAAACCACAGGCAGTGTTGCATTGTTCTGTGTTTGTGGTTTCTCTGTTGTTCACAACAAACAAGGCTAATACATGCATTTAGGTATAATAAGTGATTTCTTATGATCAACTAACAATGAATTATGACAATGTTTACTTACTGGTGTTTATATTGTAATATGTTGGGGGTTGTCGTGATACCATTAATTAATCTTACAATACAATACCAGCTGAAGTATCATGATACCAAGTAGTATTGAGATACTGTAAATCATAACTCAAATTAAAAAGAAATATTTTAGAAATACGATATTTTAAGTTATAATAGGCCTATTTGAATTTATTCATAATTCCCTTAAGGTCAAACAGTATTATTTGCACCTCACTTCACCAAATTTTTGTTCATTTTTTTTGTTTATTTTGTAGATAACTGACCAACAAAAAATACATTAAATTAAAGATACAAATTATACCTTATTACATTTTTACAAAAGAGCATATTTTTCAACAAAATTAGGCTATATAAAGTGATCAAAAATTGTTGCTATTTTAGGCATTTCATCTATTTCTTTTTTCAGTATTATCAGGTAACAATCCAAAGTAATACAAACTTTCACTTTGTGATTCGTTCCTTTGAAGAGAATGTTGCGGTTGTTGTATAGCTACTAAATTATATTAACAGCAACAGAAATGAACTGATTCAGATGTACGTTCGAACTGAAGCATTAGAAAATGTGCAATAAGCAACCATAAAAGCCGTGAATTCTACACAGGTTTGCAACCTTAAATGGCTCCACAGACTATTAAAATAAAATGCTCTATTGCTGTGAGCATTTTACGTGTGAGCATTTTAGTGACTTTTTCACATTCAACATTATCTATTATAGATAAACCATTAATGAAGATACTACCATTTACGTTTACAGTGGCACTGGCAGTATTTTGACGCCATAGTATTGCGAAACAAGCATAGTACCGGTAAACCGTGCAACCCTAATATGTTAGACAGTAAAAGTGTTTGAATGAACAGCAATAGTGAAGCATAGATATTTAAAAATAAGATTTTAACCATATTTTGGGGTTTATTATAATTTATAGTTAATTAATAGTAATACATTTTGGTGTTTTGTCATGTAAACAGCAATAGATTACACTTGTTCATGATACATAACCCAGTTCCATAAAACCAGCCATAAGTTGCTAGGGCATATTTATATATATATATATATATATATATATATATATATATATATATATATAGTTAAAGTCTGAATTATTAGCCCCCGTTTATTTTTTTCCCCAATTTCTGTTTTACGGAGAGAAGATTTCTTCAACACATTTCTAAACATAATAGTTTTAATAACTCATCTTTAATAACTGATTTATTTTATCTTTGCCATGATGATAGTAAATAATATTTTACTAGATATTTTTTCAAAACACTTCTATACAGCTTAAAGTGACATTTAAAGGCTTAATCAGGTTGATTAGGTTAACTAGGCAGGTTAGGGTAATTAGGCATGTTATTGTATAATGATGGTTTGTTCTGTAGACTATTGAAAAATTATATAGTTTAAAGGGGCTAATAATTTTGACCTTAAAATGGTTTTTAAACAATTTAAAACTGCTTTTATTCTAGCCGAAATAAAATCAATAAGCCTTTCTCCAGAAGAAAAAATATTATCAGACATGCTGTGAAAATTTTACAGCAATACACAATTATCTCTACATAAAAAAATAAATAAATAAAAGATTAAAATATTGCAAAAATATTTTTTTTCTATATAAATATAAAAACCTCTACCTCCATGCCCCATCTTGGGGGCTTTTTTTGAGTTTATTCATGACAATTTGCATTTGTATAATGTTATTATTAGTAGTAGTATTACTTATTATATGCATATTTATATTTGTTTTATGGGGCATACGTTTTTTGAGCACACTTTGCTAATATTGTTCATTTATTTGTTTGATGGAATTTATAACTGAATTTAGAGATAGTTTAGATTAGACTCTGATTGGTTTATGTATGGTATGCTCAAAACAAACCCATAACTCATTAAGAGAATAAGCCCAACTATGTCAGATCATGCACCGGGGCGCAGAGCGTATTTTTTCATCCTTAAAATAGCAAAAGTGGATTCGGACACACCCTTAATTCTTTTGCACCTTGCACTTTAGACTTTGCGCCTAGATCATTAAAAAAGAGCCCATGATGTGACTGTCTGAGCAGCTCAGGAGATGAAGTTCATATGTTCATGTCCTCACAAAATCAGATGCTAACAGCACAAGCATCGATGTGAATCAAACAACACCTCACCATTCGTTCCCACAAACAAACACCAGTTTACATGTATATCATTAGGTTTAAAGCACTACTTCTGCATTACTCAATGATATTCAGCATCATCATTCTAATGACTAGATTTTACATTAAAGATCCAGAACTGTAAAGAGAAATCAAAACCGGAACCAGAATAGTTAAATTCCATTTTTAGTTTACAGCCCCATTATACATCCATGAGTGTTTCCACACAATAACTAGACAGCTGAGCTGAAAATGTCAGGGTCAAGGTTCATTTAACTTCTACCATTTACTCAGCTGAACTGGAATTGTCGAGCTTTTGATGCTGCTGTTACAAAGCTGATGCAGCATAAACCTCTAGATTATTCTCTTACCCCTGGGAGTGTTATGTATTGACTAAATAGCTGCATTTATGAATATAGATAAAGACATAAAGGGAACTGCTAGTACTAAAAGCAAACAGAGATACTGACTCAAACAAAAGCTCAAACGTACAAAGCAAACGCTGCAGTCTTTGTTGATTGTAAACAGCCAAGCGAGGAAAAAAAAAAAAAACAGCAAAATGCAACTGACCAGCACTAAAATTAAAACTACAACAGTATTTATTTTTCCCAGGGGGCTTGGGGGATGCAATCAGATGTGGAAGACAAACTGAGAAGCTGCTGGACTGCAGAGCACAGGCCTGCTCTGCAAATCAAAATAGATTGCCACTAATAAATCTGAGGAAAACGACACTTTAATTTCCGGTTAATGCTTGACTGGGGAGCAGCAGAGCACATGTACTGACTGTCCAGTGCTTGTGCTGAAAGAACCCGAGAGAGAAATAGAGAGAGAGAGAGAGAGAGAGAGAGAGAGATGACTCAAGTGTTAGTTCATTTTCATGGGTCTTCAATGGGCACAAAGGCAGAGGTGAAAGGTGAAGTTCAAAGGAAGCACAACAGAGACATATGACCTGCGCATGGGATGCACCTCACATATAAACGAGAGTGTGAGAGAGAGTATACATGAAGATGGAACTGGACAAAAACTGAATTTTTATAAAGTTATCTGACCCCCAAGTTTTTCACGATCCCTAATCGCTAAATCCAACGCAAAATCAAAATCGCAAAATTTTTGGATCCTGCAAAATTCTTAATTTAAACACAAAATAATCAAAATTTTTTTAATAATCTCATAAAAAGTTCAAATTTAAACCATATAATCAAATTATATTTTTTTTCAGTTTGCAATTAATTGTTTAACATGACTTCTAGATGTTATGCAGCGCACGTGATGTATTTCAGTGTCTCTTGAAAAAAGACGTCTCACCTAAGCCCTCACAATCCTAACATTACATGAAAGAGTGTTTGGGGGTTGTTTTGCAGCCTGTGCAGTAAGTAGACGCAGATGAAAAGCAAGTGAATTACATATGAAGTCAATGCAAAGATTGGATTAGACATCCTTTGGCATGCATTCTGTGCATTTGACACACTTCAGACTGCAAAAGAAAGTTGAAAACCTCTATCAAACGGAGCAATGGAACAGACGGAAAAGCAAGAAAGTATGGCTGATATTATGATTTGTGTAAAATATAATATAAAAATATAACATTATACCTTCTGTTAGCTTAATCTGTTTTAGATCTTGTCATAATGGTAAATTATTTATATATATTTATATTTATATATATATATATATATATATATATATATATATATATATATATATATATATATATATAAAAGTTTTAAGCTATACATTTCTTCGATAGTCTACAGAACAAACCATCGCAATACAATAACTTGCCTAATTAGCCTAGCCTGTCTAGTTAAGCTAATTAACCTAGTTAAGCCTTTAAATGTCACTTTTAGCTGTATAGAAGTGTCTTGAAAAACATCTAGTCAAATATTATTTACTGTCATCATGGCAAAGATTTAATAAATCAGTAATTTGTGGTTGAATAGTTTTACACAGTAGTTCATTCTGCTTGTTTAATGAATGAGGCTCAAAGCTATGAGCATTGGCAAATGTTTTGTCACAGAACAAGATAATCACAAGGATGAGATCAGCATGAGGTGCTTGGAAGCCTTGGAAAATTGTGTGCAAAAAAGGTCACAATTTTTTTTGAATAGGACTGCTGTGCAGAACAAAGGGCAAGTGCAATTCTGGGAAAATGTGCTAATGAGCTCTTTTTGAGACGAGCACTAAAAGCAAAAAGTAAATGAGCGGAGCACAACATCCTCTGCTGCCTACGGTTTGCCACTAATGACTCTATATATACATTTTCACGTTCAAAGGATTTTAAAATTGCTAAAAAGTAACCCCCCTTTTTACTAAACGTCATGTTAATATAATTGTGCTTAATTATATAATACAGAAACATTCACTAGTCACTCTTCCACCTCAATAAGACTTTATTAAACAAATCAAAAACCCAAACTCTCAATTAGCTGGATGATGTTAATTCACCAAAGCAGACGGAGAATCTGCACTGACTGTCCCTGCTGTTTTGGCTTGCTGCTATTTTCGATCTGAACTAGTCTGGCCTTCAGCAATTTTTCCAGTTTATCTGGAGTGTAACAAATCCTGACTGCTGACGCTGACTGAACAGATGGTATTTAACCCAATCGAAAGTTCATGATAAAGATTCAAAGCAGAGCTGTGGTCCACAACCTTTCATTGAACCCATCCTGAGTGCGTTTGGGTGCCAAGTGCTTTGTTACAATGAGTCCAGAAACAGTGATTTGCATACGAGTATGGCCACATTTAATGGGCGCCAGCTCGAAAATAACAATAAAGCTTCAAATGTAGAGGAATGTCACATGATGAATGATGCTTACCTGTATTATAGTGCTTGGTGCAGTAGCGCAGATCCTTCTCTTCCTTCAATATAAACTGAGGTAACGTCAGTCCATCTGCTACCTGCACGGCTCCCTTCTCATCCCACTCAAATATAAGATCATTCATCGTGTAGCCAACTGTTGGAAGACATATCAAACAATACGTAAGTAACAGAGGATGGTATATGTACTATTATATAGTAGTGTTGTGAAGTCTGAATCTTTCCTGTCAACTGGTTGTTTCAGAGATTTTATAAAAAAAAAAGTATATTCACTAGTTTATTCTCATATTTATGCAAAGACATCACATATGTGCAATACTTATAATAAAGCACCCAGCAATGATATGGGAAACAGATGTTTTACATGTCTCTCCTTGTCAGTGTACTGGTGACAAACTTGGTAAACTGGTTAAATCAACCCAGGCTCATTCTGAAATCGTACCTCTATATACATTTCTGGAGAGCGCCAAATACGTCCCAGGAGCTACATTTTTTGCAGTATTTATTTTTGCGAATCCACCAGAGGCCGCTGTGTATGCTTTCTGAGATCTCATATTTCTCTTGCAAGTACCATTCGCGACTTCTGTTCTTGTGTTAATTTATCAGAGGCCTCTGTTGACTGACTGTTTGACTGTCTTAATGAATGACTGACTGACTGACTGATAGACTGACCCACCCTGCCTACCGACTTCACTAAACCCAACTGACAATTTTAAAAAGCAATCCAGAAAAAGCAAAGCCTTTTTATCTTAGTTTGTTCTGTTTATGTTATTTTTTATTTTCTTATGCTAGAAACAATTCAAACAATTAAAAAAATGTAATAAACAAAAAACAATACCTTAAAAAAATGTAAAAAAGAAAAAGAGATGTCCTCGCCTGATTTTTTATCACATTTTCAGATTTGACCACATTCTCACCCTGTTATTTACTTGTGGAAATAAAACGGCATCATACCACCTCGTAGCGTGGTGAAATGCAGCCATACGTATGTCTGGGTACATAATTCGATCTCTAGAAATGTATATAAGGCTATGTTTTCAGAATGAGCCGATGTTGGGTAAAATTGATGCAACCCTTAACTGACTCATAACTAGATTAATTCTTATCAGAGCATCACAGTTGACATTACAACTGTCATCAGTTCACTGTTATACTTCCAAATATTTTGACTCTTTTAAGTAGACTAGGAAAACTAGGCAAACTTTTAGGCAAACAAATACAGTTCTAAATTCAGCGTACTCTGGTAGTAACTGGAAAGCATCTTTTTTTTTATCCAAACCAAATGATCCAGTACCTTATACACATCTAAAAGAAAAGATCAAAGCATACATTTTACAACAAAAATCAATGGCATACAGTCATGTGAAAAATTTAAAGAGCCCCTATTATGGTTTTTGAAAATTACCATTCATACAGTGTGCAACACAACTCCAAGTGAATGAAAATATCCAGCTGAGTTTAAATCTGATAATGCACCTTGTTTAAAATATAGATTTTTTTAATAACAGATTTGTCTCAGAGTCGTTTAAATGTTCATTGTTCGTCTGGATCTTTTGGGTGTTTGTATCGACATCAACACCAAACAAAACCAAATATGCACTCCCGGATCTGGTAACACGTGAACGCATGTTTCCCTTCAGACACTAATGGAGTGCGAGGGATCATGAGATTGATCATGACTTGAAGATTACATCACTGAGAGATGGCCAGACATGCGGCTGTCAGGATTAAAGGGTTAAAGTTAATTTTCTTAACAATACCACAATATAGCCAACTGTGTGCTGTGTTTGTTCCTGTCATTTTTCTGATGATTGATACAATAACCTACGCTGCAGCATGGGATTTGCTGGCCGTTTTTTTATTAAAGGAAGGATCAGCAAAGACTACTAATGTATTGGACTTTGTCAGTAACTGTTACACAGTTTGTATGGACCACTTTCTTATTCCCTCAGATTTTGTAAATGTTTTTTCCTTCCTACATGACATGAAGTGTGATTAAAATGGTTGCCTCAATTTCTGTAGTTTGCAAAATATGCATTTAATTGTGTGTTGTAGCTTGTAATCTATCCACGCAGCTTGTAATCACATATCTATTATATATCAGTGCTTGTATTATTTCTCTCAGGTTAAATCTGTATGGACTATTCACAAATCGAGCCCAAAACCATGTTAAAAACATTGTCACACTTTACAATAAGGTTTATTAGTTAATGTTAATTAATGCATTTACTAACATGAACAAACAATGAACAATACATTTACTACAGTATTTGTTCATGTTAGTTAACGTTAGTTAATGAAAATACAGTAGTTCATTGTTAGTTCATGTTAACTCATGGTGCCTTAACTAATGTTAACAAGCATGGATTTGGATGATAATAATGCATTAGTAAATGTTCAATTATGATTAATAAATGCTGTTCATGTGTTGTTCATGATTAGTTCGTGTTAGTAAATGCATTAACTAATGAACTTTATTGTAAAGTGTTACCAAAAACGTAACACGTGCTTCTTCCTTTACTGATTTAAATGTGCTTTGTGCTAGCGATCTCCTGCTGTTTGTTGCTGTGGCCACCATCAGCTGTTCCTACACACGTGTGGCGTGGTCAATTTTCAAAATAGTTTAACTTTTGCCACTGTGTGGATTAATACTGAATGTGTGTCATTGTTATTACTTGGGCTTGTGGTTAAGAATAGAGCAGGGGTGCTCAATCCTGTTCCTGGAGATCTACCTTCCTGCAGATTTCAGTTGCTATCCATATCAAACACACCTGCCTGTAATTATCAAGTGGTGTTCAGGTCCTAATTAATTGGTTCAGGTGTGTTTGATCAGGGTAGCAACTGAAATCTGCAGCAAATAGATCTCCAGGAAAAGGATTGAGCCCCCCTGGAATAGAGGAATATGCTAGTGTTTAACTGCATTGCTTTAATGCATTCCTGCATTGGGCTCACAATTATACTCTGTGCTCTGACTACTTCTTGGGTGTTTATCTTCGTCTCGCACTCAACCAATCATAACAGACTGGGTCATCTGACCAATCAGCACAGATTAGCCTCACGCAAAGGAGGGGTTTGGAAACAAACAAATTTTGTTCCCAAAACAAAACAGTTTTTTTTTTTACCTTACATTCATATCAGACTGTTGTTGGAGACCCTCAAAACCAAAATATGACCTTTTATAATGCATGTTCCTTGGCAGGTCCTAAAATTTAGAAGATAAAACCTCTGATGAACAACGTCACAATATGCACATTATATATTAACCAAAAATAAAGCTGAAATAGAAACGCCATGAATGACAAGCACGCTATGTTTATATGCCAGTAGATCCAATTTTAGCAGTAATTACGTACAGTAATAATTTTCTGTGTGACCTTATCAGTCTCAGATATTCTGGAGAAATGACCAACAATCTGCTGAAACATTTTGTTGGTCAAGCAGCCAACAAACAGACCAACAAACTGCTGAAACCTATGCTGATGATGAATCAAGGCATTCAATTTAGTTAACGCGATACGTTGTTGTTCATCTCAGGTTTTATTTTCCAAATTTTAAGACCAAAGATCAGATACTATTTTTTTTAAGAGTATCCTAATTGTATTACATGACGGTATGACATTAAAATACATAACCAAATACACTGTAAAACATCTAGAATTAACAGTTAATTTGTGACTCATGTTTTTATTTTTTATTTTCTTCATTTATTTATGTTTTGAATTACATTATAGGACCTTGATCTTTCTTCCAACAATTTTTAACCTTTACATTTTAACCTAACATTTTTAATAGATTAAATTGTTATATTGCCTGGGTTGGTGTTGTATATTACAGTACAAAACCCTTGAAATAAACCTTCAGTACATTTTTGTTATTTTACAGACGTATGTCTCTATCCACTATTTCTTATACATTATATTATATCAAACTACATAAATGTCAGTAAAAGTCACTTTGTTAAATTGTAGAGTTGAATTTTCAACATTAAAAGCAGACAGAGCAGAGGCCAAGATCCCATAATGCACTTCACAACCGTAAATAAACAGAAAACACTTGTGAATCACAAAGTACAGAAACTGTTAATTAACAGATTTTTTAAAACATTTTTTTATTATTATTATTTTTACAGTGTATGGTGCAACTTCCTGCATAAAGTTAATACATAACATAACCCCCAACAAACCAGATCCATCACAAACTCCAAACAACAAATCTATTTCCTGCTGCTCCTAATTTTCAAAATCCTTCAGTCAGACAAAGATTCCCCAGCAGAAATACACTATAATTTGGCAAATCTGAGAATCAATAGTAAATAACAGAAATGGGTAATGTCAGGAAGGGCTTGTGCTGGAAGCGTCTCTCTGCTGACTGCTGAATCTACTTGAAGGCGGCTTTAAATCACTACACTCTTCATCTGCTGGTGCCAGCCAGTACAACATCCATCTCTGCAGCACTGAATAAATCCTCTCCATCTGGCTGAAAGGATCAGGGCATACTTACAGCTCTCCAGCTGCATTATACAGGTCTGCACATCCATAGGGAAATTCTTCAGGTCCATGGGGCAGGCCAGAACCAGTGTTATTCTGAGAAACAACAACAGCCGCTATCAGCAACAAACTCCACAACAGATCAAATTAGACAGCTCTTACTTTCTCAGTTTTCCACCGGTCAAGCCTTTCAAATGTTTGAAGGAACAGTTCAGTGTTGTTTTAATGCTGCTGGTAATACTTTACATTAAGGTCCTGTATTTAAACATTGATACATGCATTTGCTAACATGAACGATGATAAGCAATTCATATAATTGGTACCGCTTTACATTAAGTGGCCTTAACTTTAATGTACTTAAATCAAAATATAATATAAAATGTACTTAATGTGTTTACAATGTATTGCAGATCACTTTTGAGTTGGAATATGGGTATAGTTAGGAAAAGTTTTGGTGGTATGAGTAAGGTTAAGGTGTAAGGCATGGTCAACAGTGTAATTATAAATGTACTAAGAGAAATTAATTACAGATGCCATACATGCAGGCGTTTAAACAAGCATATTTAAAACATATATTTACACAATAAGCACATTGTAATAAATTACTTATTTCGTTCTACGATGTAAACCCAACAGTCAACTTTGGCGCAGTTAGCTAAATTATTTTACTAAGTACTTAAATGTACTGTAATAAGAACACTTTAAAAAAAATGTGTAACATTTTTGAAAAATATCACTGTTGTGCAATATCTCTTTTTTGTAGCAGTTCATAGTGCTTTAGCTGTTACAAATGTGATTTCTAATTGTATAGTAGATATATTAAATAACCACTGTATGGTTTATGTTTATATGTGATAACCAATTGAATCTTATGGTAAAGTGTTACTTTTATGGCATTTGCTGAAATGTAGAATGAAATGACCTTTTATTTTAATTTACTAATTTGTAATTTGATTATTTTCTTAGAAATTATACTTAGTTTTAAATTATATTTCATAATTCATTATCATAATGTTATCAGTTCATTGAGTTGTTTTCATCAAATATTTTAATTTAACTTCTTTAATTCATTTGGGTAACACTTCATTTGAGTATTAGTAGACTGTCTGCTTAATATCTGTTGATACTGCTCCTTCAACAGACATTTATCGTACTATAAGAAAATTTGCATGTATATTAGTTGGGATGTAGATGCAATGTAACTTAATTTCAATAAATGGATTATCAAAATAAAGTGTGACCTTTATGTTTATTTATTCATTTGTGCTTAACTTTAGTGATTTTAATACTTAAAAAATAAATTAAACAAAAAAATTGAATTTGAGTTTTTTTTTTCATGTAATTAAAAATGTAATAGTTTTTTAGATTTAGTTAACTAGTTAAATTGACTTATTATTTACTTGCTGTCACTAATCTGTTGCAAAGTGAATCTGATTTTCTCAGATATTATCCACCCTCACCGCAGCTCTCAAATCAAATATGGTGCTGGTCGTTTTGGTTTTTACGAGACACCTGGTTATGAGACACTGGAGAACCAATAATGTCTGATGTTATTGATGTCAAACCTGGAGCACAGGTGTCACATTTGATTTGAGATCTGCAGCTGAGGTTATCTGTGAAGATTATCAGCAATTATCTTCAATTTCATTTTGCTCATCACTTTATATCACTAAAAGTAAAGTGCAGAGGTTGAACAAACCATTCTTTCAGTTCTGTTTGACAGCTTGTAGTCACTATACATTGTTATCATATGGAAGTTACAGCATACAGTATTGAAGGCATGAAGATGAGTAAACATTTCAAGATTTTATATTTGATTATTCATTTGAATGGAAATCCATTTAAGAAATGCAACCTAACTCTATTACATATGTGATTATTAACTCCTCCTCATATGATCCTGAGGCTAGATACAGAAATAGCCAGGAGCTCTGATTCAATACTCCCTCAAGGCTGTAATCACATCTCTATCACAGGATAGCGGTAATAGTGGTTATTTACCTGAAATGTTCAATTTAACTGTGCACTGCGGCTGGTGCAATTTAGAGGGAGTTCACAGCTAAGACCAAACTGATCTGAAAGGTTCATTTTATGGTGTCAAGTTAAGAGATCAGGCTTTCCAATCCACCTAGCTATTCACTACAACCCCAGCCCTCCTTAATGCTGCAATGATAAGACGTAAAGGGAATTTGGAAACGTGCTGAGAAGATTACATATGGTTGTTTGTCTTTTGCTTAAAGACATTTCATTTTTTGATGGTAAGAATTTTTAAATATACCAGAAAATTAAGCAGTTTAGGCAGTCTATGATTTAATTTAGAAGAGGAATGGTGAGAATTAAGGATTTGTAAAAAAATATATATTATTACAGCTTAAAAAATCTAATTCCTATTATTTAAATACATATTTATTATTAATGCCTGCAAAGCTGAATTTTCAGAACCACTTCTTTAATCTCCGAAATCACATGATCCTTTAGAAACCAATTGGTTCTTAAAAGTGCAATAGGTGATTGTTTCAGTAACATTTTTTGTAGTGCTGGTTGAAATTATATTGCAGTGTGAAGAGACTGACTAAATAAATTAACTTCATGTATTTATATGTATTTTTATATGCTGGGTAGGGCATAAGACTAAAAAATGTTCATCCAATTAAAATTTGTCAGGCCAATAATTCTCATTATTCTGATAAGTAGCCCAAACTGTCTGTCAACAAATGTAGATTTGTACATCTGAGCAGCCGTTTGTGCAGAGTTGCAATTTGCACGTGCACAGAGGTAAAAACAAATGCTGAATAAAAATGTTTTAAATCCTTAATCAATATTGGAGTTAAGGTCATTGAACACTAAATCCGAAATTTTCATACGTAACTTTCGCACATTAAAAAATTAATTCGACCTCACGTTGTGTGGATCATACTGACACACTGCCTCAGAAACTTTATTTCATAAGGAACCTTTTACAGCATCGATGATGTAGATTTTTATTTAGTTTAACAACAAAACATAAGTATATAGCGCTATTCCGCCTAGCCTGCTTTACTTATCTGATGTCAGTTTTATATTAACATTACATTGGTTAATTTTTTAACATTGACAACCTGTGACACGCTCCCTATATTGTTCACCATGCTACTTTGAATATTCGGTCTGAAATGGCATGTAAGTATGGCTTAGTAGTAAGTGTAATTCCTGCACGCCAAATCACTAAGGATACAGTAGTCGCTTTAGGACAAAGCGTGTGAGAGAGTGAGACCAGCGATCCTTGCATGCATGAAATATTGCACATTATGGAAAGTTTTGCTTGCTAACTGTAAACGTGCTAGATATAATACAGTTTTTCATTCAGTAGTATTATAAAGTACTATAAAGTCACACATTGATTTTAAAACATTGATTTTAACTCATATTGCTGTTCATGGTACTGCTCCTGATTATATATGTCATCTTATATCTACCTCCTCTTCCTCTCGTAATCTACGTTCCGCTTCGGGGCGCACCTTGTTTCAGCCTCATTGCAAACTTAGCACCATGGGAGATAGGGCCTTCTCTTATCGTGCAGCTAAATACTCTTCCCATAAACATCAGGAACGCCAGTTCCCTGGACTGTTTTAAAATTTACCTTTTTATTATTGCTTATAACTTATGAGGCTTTCTTTTTTTGTATTTTGTATTATTATTATTATCATTCTTACTTTGTGTATTTCATGTTCTACTGTGTTTTGATGCTCTTATTAGTGCTTTAAATCTAAGAAAAGCGCAATATAAATTAAATGTAATATTATTATTATTATTATTAATAATATTATAAAGGTTTCTATCTGGCAAATGACATGATCTATAGAGTTGTCTACTGTCATCTTTACTGTGTGCGTTCATGATATCAGAAGGCGTGGCTTTAGACGGCAGGGGTGGGACTGTGTTTCAAAGATGTTATGCTAACTAGTTAGCTTTTTGGCAGATAACTCACTGCACCTTTAAGAAAAATTTCTTCCTATTATTATTATCATCAATATGAAAAACAATTGTACTGCTTAAGAATTTAGTTTGTTTTAGTCTGTGACAGGTTGTTTTGATCAACATGAAGTTTAAAAGGCCAGAATATGAAATTAAATGTTTAATGTAACAATATAGATACATGTGAACAGAGCCACATATAATTAATGTCTCCTAGCTGAATGAAAATATTCATACAAAACTGTATAAATCAGTGTTGAAGTATTTTGGATTACATGTAATGATAAGCAAGTTATTTTTTAACAATTCATTAACCACATGTTTCGGCTAAAACATATGTTGATTATTTTGTATGCTATATTTGACTTTTTTTGCTAATTGTTGATAATAAATATAAATATTAATACAATTATAAAGGGATTACTTGTTTCCCTTACAGTCCAAACACAGGCGCTATAGGTCAATTGAATAAGCTAAATTGGCCGTAGTGTATGTGTGTGAATGCAAGAGTGTAAGGGTGTTTCCCAGTGCTGAGTTGTGGCTGGAAGGGCATCCGCTGTGTAATAACATATGCTGGATAAGTTGGCAGTTCATTCTGCTGTTTGATCAATGCCTGATTAATAAAGGGACTAAGCCTAAAAGAAAATGAATGAATGAATGGATTATTATTTGTATGTGGAAATTTTTATAATACACTGCTTTAGTGGAAGGTTCCATTGACAACTAACCCTCTATACTAAGCCATGTTTTCTCAAAAGGTCAGTGTGTATTTAAAACTGTGTGTCATTTTTTTTCAAAGGGCAAACCGAAATAAATCCACTCTCAAAAATATAGACAGCAGTAAACATCGACGTGACAACAAGCCGCAGTCTACCTTTACAAGCACATGTACACACACCATATAATGCAGTATCGACAAAATTGAATTAAGAATTGTCCTCTCACCTTATACTGTATAAAACGTTCCCGTTTTTGGAGATCCTCAAGAGCTTGTTATCAGTGGTCACCTCGTGGAAATTGGCTCCCTTTTCGTTGGCAAAGAACAGATCAGGTTTCCAAATGGAGTCCAACATAGAGGGATCGAGGTCAAGGGAGTCATCGGGATATTCGCTGTAGGCCAGCCGAGGGTCATTCCACTGCTGTCTCAGGAAAATGTTCACTCTGTAATCCTGTGGCGCACAAAGACAGCCATGTCAACAGATCAGAGGTGAGATGGAAAAAAAGACCTAACATCAGCTTAAGAATCCTGTGAAAGCTTTTATTTTTTGATAGCATGTCTAAACATAGCGCAGGCTAATTTGGAGGCATTTCAGTGTATATCTTGCTTGAGGAAATTGTTTTTTTTTTTTGCAGGCAAACCGGTGAGATGGCCAGCGGGTAAAAGCAGGCAACAAAAAGCGGTGGCATTTCGCCCCAACACACTGCCATAATTGTCAATTCTCCTCCAAAACAGGCATGCAGTTCTATCATTTCAGGGAGACCATTAAACTGTCTGGCCAGTAATGTACCTTGGGATGATCGGCAGAAAATATAGTGGACGACCTTTGCAATGGCAAACAGCTTCTACATGCAAGGACATTTCAGGGCAATTATCCTAATGTAAGGTGACCGGTTCATCCCCAGAATTTCCAAATATTTTGATGGAAGAGAATCATCTGTCTCAGGTTATTAGATTTGCCTTTCAGAGAAAGCGCAGCCACCGAGGCACAGGGAAAAGAACAAGTCCCATCGATTTTACTTTGTCAATATTTCTCCTTTATGATAAACAGCCCACGGTCACTGTAGACGCAAAATGAACCCCACCAAAAACAACAGAGCCATACATTGCGGCTTCATTACCGGTAGCATTATCTCCCAATTACTCAGGTGTTATGTAAACACATCTGTTCTCTTTAGCAAACACGCATTTAGCGTCCCGGAAACCTTGCATATATATGATGAAATTAGTGAAACCTTTCGCTCTTGTCTGCTGTGATTATCCGAAATCCATTACTACAACCAAACAGGACGCCCGCAGTCAAACGCTCGCCTTGAAACGTACGGGTAGTTTCAGACTGAATGATTTTGCAAACAAGCGAGGAGTGGGCGCACATTCATCAGCGCACACACAACTTTTTTTTCTGATTTGATTTCTCTAGGCTAAGGAGAGTGATTTATGGCAACAACCCACTCATAATGCGATTCAAGCCCAAGGCCAGATCCTATCCTGACGGTGACATATTAGAAAAAGTTTGCACGGCTCTCGCGTGCCCAACTCTACTAACAAATGACGGACGCTGAAATGTACACGTTTGCTCTCTCTTGCTTCCTCGAGAAAATGAAAGAGCTGGCAAGCTAATTAAATAGCCACTCGCCTGTCCCGTGGGCCCCGTGCCTTACAAAAAGGGTAAACAATTAGGACAGTGGAAGGCCGGAGGGAATGCCAGTCTCAGTAGTGGCCGGAGTCGGTCAGATCATTACTGGAAGAAACATTGTTCTCGGCTGCCCTATAAGCACTAAAGATTTATCGATATCGCTGGCGTTACCTGCTCCTGCCCCTCCACCTTGCCGCCGCTTGCTCAGTGTGAACATGAGCATGAGCAACTCGGATCAATTCTACTGGTTATGGAGGAAAGAAAGAGTGGAAAGCACTGCGTTTGTTCTGCTTGAAGGGGTTTTGCAAGCTGCTGAGGTTTTGGAACTGCTTGGATGATGCCAAACAGGAAATCCTGGCAAAATATTACTTATTTCTATGCTCATGAAGACTCAGGAATCTATGACCTACTCCAGGTCAATAGCTGGAAGAGGGTATTTCAATATCGCAATATCTAAACATTGTGGCCATTGAGGCACACATGAACATGCAGTATAGCTTTTTAAATTATTATTATTATGTTATATTTTTTGGATGTTGTGTAACTTATGTTTTGTTTTGTCTTCTTGTTTTTTAATTATGTGATTGTGATTAATTGTGGGACCCCCTTGAAAATGAGATGGTACATCTCAAGGGGTTTATCCCAATGATTAAATATCAAATATGTTTTTGTGTGAGCTATATATCGTTGCGCTATATTGTAGCAATATTATTGATCACTTTATGCCACTGATTAAATAACTATAGTATGAGAGGACGGAAAAAAGTTTCGGCTCTATTCTAATGATCTAGGCACAAAGTCTAAAGTGCATGCCGCAAAAGCCTTAAGAGTGTGTTAGAATCCACTTTTGCTATTTTAAGGACAAAAAAAAAAATGCTCTGCGCTGCGGCGCATGGTCTAACAGGGTTGTGGTTATGCTCTTAATGGGTTATGGGTGTGTTTTGAGAATAATGTGCATTAAACCAATCAGAGTCTCATCTCCCATTCCCTTTAAGAGTTAGTTGCGTCATGCCATGGCGCATTTCCTATTGACATGGCAGACTTTGTAAGTGGAAAAACTGAACACTTCACTAGCAAGAAAACAGTTAAACAAACCATCTGCAGCGCGAGGATAAAGATTGAGCCACCTCCATTTAGCCTCTTTACTTTCTCTTTCTCTTCATATTTACTTTTTACTCCTTCACTTTCGTGAAGTAAGGAAACGGTGTTGTACGCACTCCACTGAAGACATTCATTAGTCTACATATTTAATTTAGTTTGTTAAGCGCAAAGAATTGTTTCAAAACTATTTCCAAACTCAGTTCTATTTTCCAGCAAATGAATAAATGAACAATAACAAGGAAGTGTGGTCAAACAACCGCGTTATATCCAAACATGTGTATCCACACTATTTCTACTGGTTTCTAGTGACTGTAAACTGTTAAATATTATAGAAGGGAGACAGCTGGAGAGCCATGTATTTTTGGTCAATGAGCCACATGTGGCTTGTGAGCCACAGGTTCCATACCTCTGGTCTAATAAAAAAAATAAAAAAAGTAAAATATGTTTATTAGTTTACTTTAAAATATGTTTAAACGGATTGCAAAATTCATGATTCTGATCACATTTAATTTTTTTTTGCCACAGAATCAGATTTTTAAAAAATGTTGATTTTTAGATTTTTAAAAAATACAAAAAAGAGAAGACAATTATAATTTGCTCTCTAAATAAATAAAATGCTAAAATAAATGTTTTAATTATGAATAATTACCATATATAACCACAATAGTTGATTGTTGTTCTTTATTCTTATTACTAAAAGCAGTCAAACAAATATAAGTAAAACTAAAACACTAATTAGTTACTCCCTCTTTTCTCTTAACATCAAAAATCCAAACTAATGTTATATGTCTGATTTCCCCCAAACTGTATGCATTTATGTAATACAGAACATAACCAACTGTGTTTACGTGAATACAGATATTATGGAATAATTCTGTGTGTATCTGACAGATAAAATGATCGTGTGCCATCAGGTATCTGTCTCTGCAGGCTGCACACACTTCAACTGTGTATCAGTGCAAGAAACATATTGAAATCATTTTGTGAATACTGAGCTTGGTTTACAAACAGGCATGTCTTGCATTCATTCATTCATTCATTCTCATTTCGGCTTAGTCCTTTAATTAATCTGGGCTTACCACAGCGAAATGAAACACTAACTTATCCAGCATATGTTTTACGCAGTGGATGCCAATCCAGCTGAAACCCATCTCTGGGAAACATCCATACACAGTCATTCACACTATAGACAATTTAGCCTACCCAATTCACCTGTACCGAATGGTCTATGAACATGCAAACTCCACACAGAAACGCCAACTGACCCAGCCAAGGCTCGAACCAGTGACCTTCTTGCTGTGAGGCGACAGCACTACCTACTGCGCCACCGCGTCGCCCGTCTTGTGCCTTATTTTCTAATTTATTCTCTTTTTGTAAAAACTAACACAATAGACCCAAAAAAGGACAAAGAAATTGGTAATAATTAAATCACTTTGGAAGAAAAGCAATTGCTTAGCAATTAATCCACAGATCACATGCTGAATCATAGTGATCCAAATGAATTAAGATCAGCCACGGTCTACCTATACTGAAATGATTTACCTATCCTGGGATGGCATTTCAAAAGTAGTTAAAGATATAAATAAATAAAGTATTTATTTAGTAGTAAATGGACATATAGAGTGGTTTATGGCTTGTTACAAGTTATATACTGAGAACATGGTTATATCGTTAATAAGTGGGGTTGTTTAGGGCTTACTCTTACAAACTGAATGAAGACATCAACAAAACTCTAATGCTTTATTTATTGTCTTCTCATTATCTGGGGCTATATAATCTGTTTATGTGGTGGAGGAGCTTCCCATTCTTCCGATACAAAGGCAGAAGATGACAGAGGATGCGAAATCAGCTAAAATGGTGAGGATGATGATAATTTTTTATGTAAATAATGCATCATGACACCTCAATGATTGAGATCATGTCAATATTATGCTATTATAAACACTAAAATGCTGTGTTGTTTTAAAATGCTGCGTTGTGTAAAATATGGATCAACCCAACAGTTAGATTCATTTATTATATTTTAACCCAATCTTTGGGTTGATGCACACTTTATCCAAATTTACATACAAAACAATACAGCATTTTTAGAGTATCAATCAATAATTTGTTAAATGTTAAAGTCTGGAACAAACAGAAAGTTAACAGAACATGCAAAACACTATTTCTTACTATGTCTAACTCAAAATATGGTAATCACTTTTATTACAAAAAAAGGTATGAGATTAGATCATTGTTCTCAGACTACCGGATCCCAATCATCTTTTTTTTCCCCTTCACAAAAAATGTACCACCAACAGTCAGACTATGTGTACACCTATTGATTGTCTTCTATGTATTACTGTCAACATTGCGAACTGTATATTGTTTTGTTTTTTGGGAGTATGCTGTATTTTGCACTGTCTGTATTTTGCTCTATCTGGAGCCAGAACTTAAGCTTTTCACTCATCATAGTACACATGCTGCTGCTGATGTGACAATGAAAGTGATTTGATTTTGATTTGATGTATGGAGTATCATTGCACCACTTGTCATTACACAATGACTATACTCACCATTGTTGTTTCAGCAATGGATCCAAAACTGTTAATAAAAATGTTGCATGTTACGTTCACAGGTGGACCTGGGGGAGAGGAAAAGATAGAGAAAACAACAACAAAAACATGTAAGTCACCTGACACCGAAACAAATGTTTACTGTAATTTGTAATCCTAGTAAAACTTGCATATACTAATTGAAGAAAATTTTTATAAAAAAAAACTTAATATCACAAAATACTAACAATATAAATACTATCTAAAACTTACCTTCTTACTCCTAAATAAGCACATTGTCATTGACAAAAAAAACAACTTCTTTTTAAGACCTATGCATAGCTTTAGCTTTCAAAACAAAGATATTGTTAAGAGTAAAATGATTTATCAGACTAAGCAACACAAAAAAGGCAGGAAAAGGAAGACAGTCATCTATGAACACATGCACATTAACTGTGCAGTTATCAAAACTGAACAACCTTTAAAAGGGAAGCCACTGTGTTCTAGAAATATTAGAAGCGAATCTCTTTGCTCGTGCACAATGAGAACCTCAGTTAAACGAAAACCTAGTCCAAGAGAGAGATGTGCACGACTAAACAGAAACCATACTTCTGCTGTTACAAACACACACACACACACACACACACACACACACACACACACACACACACACACACACACACACACACACACACACTAGCGATCCATCACATATGGCTCTGTAAACAGAGAGGGGAATATTCTGAGTGACACGATGCTCACGGCCTCGTAAAGACCCTGTCAGGCTGCTCCAAACTTCTGATTTGTTCAGATTCAGAGCTGCTGAACAGCACAGAGAAGCCCTGAACCCCATTTCTCTGCCTGCTGACATGCACATGCAGCATCCTAAGATGCTGAATGAGTCGATTACCGGAAAGAAACATATTGCAATCTGCAAGCTCCTGCCACATTTAGTCATTTTATAACTCGGCAAATTTCTGGAGAGTAATCTCCAAAAAAACTGTTACCTAGAAATAAATCACCTCATACATATGATTTGACAAAATTCGACATACAATTTGATAGCTTTGCACACTCTGTTTTCAGAAAGGGATAGACCTTCAGTTCAGTCAGTTCAATGCCATATATATATATATATATATATATATATATATATATATATCACCGAGTCTATAAGGGAAACGAGTCTATAAGGGATAAAAAAACAAAACAAAACAAAACAACACAACACTCATACTGAAATAAAAAAGTAAACTGTATACACTGCGAGCCATTTTAAAGATTGCAAGCTTCTACCAAACAGTCACATTTTCATCCCTGTTGAGTAGGGATGCAAGGATTAACCGATTTCACTAGTAATAGTGATTTAATTTGTCAAGACATTTAACTGTAACGTCTTATCTACACCATGTTTCCGCATGAAACAAAACTGCTGCAACTAAAAGTTATGCCAACTGTAAACAATACACATGCACACTGGATTAAAGACAGAGGCTATTAACTACGGGCCGTTCACATATCCTGCCTTTTGCGAGCACAAGTTTGTTATTTCCAAAGGAGGCGCGTGACTGGTCTGCATATTGGCAGTGGCTCACGGGCCGCGCTCAAACTTTCCAGGCACAACTAGTTGAAAAAATGGAGCGCAACACGAGTAACGTGACAAGAACTGATTGGTCAGCTTCATACTTTGCTTGGAATATGCACATTTCTACTTTAAAATATATATATATACAAAAAGAAAAAAAAACAAGTTTTGGAATATAGTTAAAAGTGCCTTTTAGAGATAGGTTCAGTAGCCTTTGACTTCATTTGTTCTTTTTAAAAGGGATAAACATGGCTAATATGTAGCTACAGATTTATATTAGACCATAGATGCCTAAAGTAGGGCCCGCGGGCCACGTTGGCCCATTGAAACCTTTGATTTGACCATCCCAACTAAGAGGATAGTGAGAATGATGAAGAAGGTTGGAGTGGTTTTTCCACAGAGATAGTTATTTCTAATTTGACGTAATTTTTTTTGTTAGTATGAGGTCCCTTTCAACGCTGCCAGTAGCTTTAATTTGGTTGTTTTATTGCTGAACTACAAAAAAGCTAACTGAAATTAAATGTTTCCATTAAATCTTGTAAATGAATCTGATTTTTAAAAAATATAGATACTGTCATTCAACAGATAGAAGACTATGCAGGAGACATTGGTGAGCTAGCCAAGGCAAAAACTAGATAATTCTGTTATAAATGATTGTTTAGTTTTTTTTTTCTGTAATAAGTTCATTATAAAATGTAAAAAATAATACTGTATTGGTTAATATAAAGCCATAATTTCTAGTTATTTTTAAATATTATTAATTAAAATGAATCTACACATGGCATCTATATTTACCTTTGGCCCACTAGCCTTAATCAAGTTTGATTTTTGGTCCTTCATAAGAAAAAGTTTGGGCATCCCTGCATTAGATAGATACTATTTATTTATTATTTATTTATTTATTCATTCATTCATTCATTGTTCTGTCATTTATTTTCAGTGTACCATTACTACTTATGTTTAAATGCCAAAAACTTTTTTCAGTTTTCAAGTTATTATTAAGTCCAAAGAGAAATGGACTACTGTTTATTTTTTATTATTATTTTGTGCTGTGTTATTCAGTTACTGAGCAGCAAAAAATAACACTTGAAAATATCGTTTTCATGTGACTTACTAAACTAGTAGCGCTTTGAGATTAATGAATGCATAATAATCAAGAGAACCATGAAAACATGATTATTCCTGAGACTATAATCGTACAACAAGAATCTAAATCATTGCAATCCAACTGTTTAATTGCATATGATTTCAAATCTGACAATCACACATACCTTAGCATACACAACAGCTCTTGCTTCAAAAAATAGTCAGCTAGTCACCTACCTCACTGCATGCTGCCTACAAAGGCAGCTGCCCTTTAAGGGAGAATCCTTACCATAATCAAACCAATATTGTAACACCACTGATGCCATACACTTAGCATTCTGCACAGATAAGCAACTGAAAGTTACTCCAAAAGAGTCGGACAGTAGCATGTTGCTAAGCTAATTGCACAAAAAGTAGAATCAAACACAAAAAGTGGCTGAATTTTAATACAACTTCATACAAATCTGACATTTTTATGCATACTTTTTTATACTGAACGAGCAACATGAAGAGAACATTGTTTATAAATCAACACAGTATTGTCCACCATTTTGAATGTTTTTTTTTCTTCCTTGCTGCAGTGCATTATCATTAAATGTCTGCATCTGAAATTCTGTTCTTTTGGATTATAGTAAATGTGCTATTGAGCATAAAGTGGTCAATAAGATGTAATTCACTGTCATGTGACCTACTGTACAGCTCCTGTTGGCCCAGTTGATACACACTTCAAAAACTCACCGGTGTACTGTCTGCCCACTGTTTTATCAATACTTCTAAAACATCCAGACATACTACTTTTACACATGCTGTCTTTCACCTACTGTATATCATAATTCAGTTGCCTACCTTTTCAACCACCCTTTTCCTTCATAGGCAGCTTGCACTTGGTTTGGAACTGACTCAAATTCTAGCACATTATCAGGCAGTTCCTATTGGAGTCTCTATACAGTGTCAGGCCCCACAGTTTCTTGCTCTTGGCTTATTTCTTCCACTGGGTATTATACCGGCTGTAATCATTTGTCTGTTCTTGGCTTTCCTTGCCGTATGTGACGCAGCGCAGAGGAAATCTAATGTCCTCACCCCCACTGCAGTTCATTTTTGAGCCCAGCCTCCAATAAGAAGAGGAGAGAGAGAAAGACAGAGCTCATTAACTGTCAGGAAAGGGTGAGTCATCGCCAAGAATGATTTGCTTTGCCATGTTTTTGCCAAACAATCTGCGCCCTGCTCTCCTAAGAGCAACTCACTGCAGAGGGAAGCAACCGCCAGCGAAGGGACGTTCAGGTTATTTATACTTTCTTCTCAGCTGTCTTTCCCAGTGAATCAGACCTTAATTTCTGAGCCGTGCCTCCACCCTCGTCTCATAGAGGTGATGGTAGTTTGGAAGCCTCACACGTTTCACTGCGCTTCTCTTTATTACCCCCACACAAACAGGACATGCGAGTCGCAAAGATCAGTCTGGTCTTTCCTAGAAACAAGCTCATCAGAGAAAGTGAGTGCGGATCGTTTTTCCGCTACACTATTGACGTTGTGCAATTACGTATTTACGAAGAAAAATCTAGACATTCAGAGAGTCGTTATTGTGATTAATTTCATGCATAAACTGAACAATCGTTAATCAAATGTCCCTCGGGTAAGTATAACCTCCTTAGAAAACTCATAAATTACACGTTTGCCAGTGAGCTGAGAGACCAATTACTCTTTCATAAACCAACAACCACATCTCGTCTTTACAGTTACCAGTTTACAGTCTCTCATTAACAAAGGTCCAAGTCTAAACTGATCAATACTAGAGTCCATCTCCTTACCCGGCAGCAACCGGAGAGTGATATGTCCTCAAAAGCCATTAGTCTGTTTTACACCGGTCAGTTGGTGTGAAAATGGTGCAAGAGATGTTGTACCCAGAGGACACTCTCAATGCGGGAGCAAAAACAGATTTATTGCAAACAACGAGCACTTAAGATGTCTCCCAGGTAAGTGGACCACCACAAATGAAAGTGTCTGATATAAATAAAGAAAGCTTAATGATATTGCTCATGTTAAAAATCGAGCTGCTCTCAGCAGAAATACAATGGCACTGAGACATTAAATATTTATATGGCTTCGGCTGTAGGTCTTGGCAAGGCAGTTTTCAGCTGGACCGAGATCCGCTGGTGACAAAGGGACAGCAAAGTGCCCTACCAGGATTTCTGTGTTAGCGCCACTGCTTTCATCACACCTCACTGAATCAACACTGGGGCAAATGTCAAGGGCTTCCTCTTACTCCTCGTGCACTGACATATGGGCTGATGCTGAGGAAATCTATTGGCATGGGGCAATTTTCAATTTGCGCTGCTCTAGTTACACTGATAAAAAAAAGCTGTTAAGCTCCAGTAAAGGAGCCGAGGATCTTTCGGAAGAGTGAAACTGGAAAACACAAAT